TTTCTCATTCACACTACCGTTCGCATTCTTCATCGGGCCATGGGTTACCAAGTTAGAGCCGTTTTTCGGGTCAGGTTTATGAAAATTTCTAGCATGAGTAATTTTACATCACACTACCATTCACACTCTTTACGAAACTTCTTCATTCAAATCTATTTCCCTGTCAATGTTCCCCTCTTCATTGAAAGGCATAAGATGACAAAAACAAGATCTTGAAGAATTTCTCAATAATGTGCATTGGTTATGGTAGGTAATTCGAATAAAAAATAAAGTGTTACTGTTTCTTATTTGTAGAAGATTTAAGAGGAAAAACCACAACATAATGAACTAATTCATCACAATACCTGAAAACTCTAACTTCACTTTTTTGAAAAGTGAAATGGTCTTTACTTTTACTCCCGATCAACAATCAAATATCTTTTGTTGAATTATGAATAACACGAATGGATTGAAATATTTAATTATCTCAAAATAAACCTTCATTTCGGTGCAATATTGAAATTAGCTTGAATTTTTCATAACCTCTGAATACACGTTTTGAAGAGAAGAACACCCTGGTGACTGACAACTTGTTATGTCTAGATTACAAACATTTGTTTGTTGTTAAGCACACAGCTACACAATGGGCTATCCGTGTTCTGCCAGCCGCAGATATCAAAAACCGATTTTTTACTTCATAAGCCCTCAGACTTACTGCTGTGTCTCTGGTTGTATAAATTTTGTTATAAACTAGTGAATGAACACCTTAAAACAGGTGTACTTTTATGTTGGAAATCGCCAATTTCCAGTAAAAATCTTAGAAATCAAATAGGCTTATTATACAATAAAGTAGCCAGTTAACCTTCAATATTTTTGTATAAAAGTATACTCCTATGAAAATACAGAATGATGTTAGCTTGATATCACATTCTTGAATTGCCTCACTGCTTCTTATTTAAGTAATATTAAGTAAGAAAAGTTCTGATAATTTTATACTCATTTTGAAACATACCAGATGTGTAATGGCCGTACAACGTTTTATATAACATAAGTATTTCAGTCTGTGTAATTATGCGATTGTGGTGCTATGCTTTCAATATATATAACTAAAAAAAAGTTTGGTCAGCAGAATGAAAACAACTTTATTATTCTCGTTTCCTGGTGTAAGTCACATTATATGGAAAGCATCCCTTCACCCAAATAAAACAATATATATTATGAAATTTTTATATTCTAATACACAAAACTAATATAATGAAGTGTTGGGATATAAAAAAACTATATTTGTTATTTGAAAGTAGTTTTTGTTTTATATTCCTTGAGCCTTTATTCTTTCATTTTCCAAACATACCAGTAAAAATAATATCACCTACTAATATTATTTTTTCCAGATTATATAATAAAATGTAAGGTTCACCAAGTGTGTTACCATGAGTTTTTTAATACATTAACTTTCTTATTTTGTTGCATGTGTATTAAACAGACTGAACCACTGTTATCATCACTTATGTGTGATATTTAATTCTTTTATAGCCATGTTTAAAATATATCCTCCCTGTTCCATGTTTGTTTCTAAAAACACAATAGAAAACAAAAGGTATATTTTTGTATTTAATTACTTATCTAAAACTTGAAACTGGTAAATTTGAAGAGAAATAATCGTTCTTTATAGTGTAAGAAAATTCCAAACTCAACTAGCTGTGATGAAGTGGGGCATAAATATATATAGCCCATGGCAGTGAAAATGTACATTTATGGCTGTTGTATGTTTAAATATTACCTCTGCTCATCATAAAATTACAGAAAATGAAAAGAAACACATCTATTCTTTTAACAATTCATTTTTAATGTAAACTATATATACACAGAAAGAGAGAAAAATTCTGTCATATCTATATGGTGAAAATAATGAACAATTTTGAAAGATAGATCTCTGAAGATCCATGGATCTGGTAACTGAAATTACAAAACATTTACATGTTATTTAAATCGTATAGTAAAGCTACATTAAAAAGTTATATACACGTAACTCCAAAACTCCATGTAACTTAAATCCTTATTTTTAAAGCTTTATATTTGAAAGTAATATTTAACTCACTACACTTGTCATATGACATTAATAGTCAGCCTATTATATTATTTAACACTATGTTCTTTATCTAGTTTCTTAGGGATTCTCAAGAATTAGAATAACCGTTTCATTCAATTCAAAGCTCTTCAGGCAGATGGTATACACGAAACACTGTAATGGTTGGAACACATATTCATATAATACATTTGTGACAACAACAATTGATATGATGTGAATGCTTTTTACAAGCTGGTGAAGCATGATTATAATTAACTATACTTGTGATAAGACATTAATATTAGGCCTAGTAGATTTTTAACACTACATTCTTTATCAACTGTTGTTGTAACAAATGGCTTATATAAATAGTGTTCCAATCACTACTGTCTTTGTTCTATCACACCTAGCTTGAAGAGCTCTGGATTGAGTCAAATGCATCACCAGCAATGGATATGGCAAATACTGTGTGGTTGAAATACTATTATTATACACTCTTCTAATTTTTAAAAATCTCTATGGGATTAGATAAAGAATGTTATGACAAAAAACATAATAGGCTTACTATTAATGTCTTATGACAAGTATAGATAATTATAATCATACTTCACCAGCTTTTGTTCACAACATATCAATACTGAACTCAATTTAACTCTACCACACCTGGTCTAGTGCATCCTTCCTCAAGGGTAAAATTGCACTATTGAATTAAAAAATCTTTAGAAAATAAACTTGTAGTCATTCTTCCTCCCATTGAAAAAATTCCGAGGTGAAATGTTTTCAATAAAAAGTTTTGTTTATTTAATCTTATACCTAAAAAAAGAATCAAATTTTGATTTTGAGTTGATTTCAGCTCATAAGTTTTTGTGAAATTATTAAATTTTTTCTCATCATAATTTGCTATTTGTAGCTCCACAGGAAGAAAGTCATAATATTTCTGAAAACACTGTGCTAGTTTGAACTTCTAACATAAATACAAATATAGTTTTATTGGGTTTTAGCCAGTCACTGTTTCTCAACCTCAGTTGTTACAGTATGATGCAATTGCTTACATCTCAACTTGGAGAAGTCATAGGCTAGTTATTTAAACATGTAATAAATTCTCTTTTTCTGTTCTCTTCAACTGTATAAGCTAACATGGATTTGAAGTAGCAGTAACTCATTAAGAGATTGGAATAAAGTGATGAATCTTAGTTTGTTGATATGTTATGAGAAGGTAAGATATTTGTGAAGAACTTCTGCCACAAGTATAGTCCTAATTTTTTGTCAAGTTTGCTCTATCATTTTATATTTCATTTGAATTATAATTTTGCTGTATGGTACAAAAAAAATGACTTGAATGGAACAAGACGATGTAGGCTTAATTAACTCATCTTGCATCGACCATATCAAGTTTCATTTTGCTGACAAGGCCAATGAGTAAGGCTTTATCGTCATATGTAACTGCTTGAGTGGATAAGGAAAGTCATCAAAAAGAAATGTAAAAATGTAAAAAAAAAAAAAAAATATATATATATATATATATACACACACAACAAACAAAAGTAAATTTTAAAAAGGTTTAAAACTTAGCTATATACATATATAC